AATTTTTAATTTCTCAGAGGGTAAATAATTTGCTTATTCCCAATTTCTAGATATTCCAGTTTTGATTCTCAAGTCCGTTTCCTGACCATAAGGCTTATGTCCACCTAGACCAGTTGTTTATCTGCCCTGTACTAAACGGGTTAAAAGCCAGACGTTGCACTGGACAATGGTCAGTTTTAGAAAACGTGAGAAAAGGAAATTTTGTTTTTACCAGACTAATATTATGGAAATATTTTAAAAATAATGCCTTCAAAATAATCAAACGTGTCCAGTTTTATTTAGGTATATATTTTTTTGTTATATTTTTATTCTCATCTCAAAGTCTCCTACGCAAAATCTCAATTTTAAAAGCGAGAAAAGTCTGCCAAGCTTTCTGGTTTGGAACATAACACAACATAATTTATTCCATAGTTCACCTCGTAACAGTTACCTCGACAATATTATCATTAAAGTCCAGTTCTGGATTTCCAGTTAAGATTCTCATGATAAATCTCTACTGACCATCGACCTTATGCCCATTTGATTAAAGGCGCCAAAGGGTGAATGTCTATAGTCAGCAACAGGTTAACTTGTCTTATCGATATTTATAAGCTGGACAAGGGTCAGTTCTAAAGGGGGAATAATAAGATTTATTTTGAAATTCTGTTGCGTATATGAAAACTTGTTTTTTTTATTGACCATCTAGATGTTTTGTGATTATGCCTATCGGATCATTGAGTGTTAAAGTTTTGACCATGCTTATATAGTACCAGTTTTTTTATCTTGACCAAAAACGGGCCTGGTGAAAACGTGAGAAGGTAAATTTCAACCCATATAGACCTAAAAAAAACATGTTTTGTAAATGTAACAATGGTCAGGGCCTCAGACGTTGCTGATTTCAGAATATATGTACTCATTTTTGAAGTGAACCTCTATACATTCATTTTGCATTAGTGATCCCAATACCGTAGAACGATCATCAATAATGTTGCTCATGAGATCACTCTGTAACAAAAAATACCAAAATTGAGCATCAGGTTAGAGGGTGTAGCATTGAAATCACCCATCAAAAATGGAGTTTCTCAGAACACTTTACTTTGCTTGCAAGAGGTAAAGAGTAGATATAGATGAAACTTAAAACTAATGCAATGGGGACTATATCCTGAGCACAGATCCAGAGAGGCAGAACATTAGGTACAGCCAGAGACAGGTGACTGAAAATAGCCACTGGCGAGAATTGGGAATGGCTAATCTCTTATCTTCGGGCTGAAGAAAAAGAAGAATGAAGAAGACAGCCGAGAAGAAACATTTACTCCAGACCTATGCACTAATATTCAAAGTTTTTTTTTTGATCTCGCCCTTCCTAATTTAAATATTTTTTTGTCCTGAAACCCTCTCGAAACAGCATCCATGTCCCAAATTGGCACTTGTCTAGCAGCTTGCTCTGTTATCCTTTTTTATAATGACCCGCGACGAATAAAAAAAAATTACAGAGATTAAAGGATGATTCCCATAGAGGTTACAAACACGTTCTAAGACTCAAGCAATAGGCGTTTCCTGAGAAAATTCAACAATTACAAATTATAAGTGAAAAAAGCTGGACAAAATTTTAAAAAAATTAACTTGAAACAAGCTATGACAATGTTCGAGTGAGAAGTACGTGTGTCAAACTTTGAATGTAAATGTATTATGGTAATCAGTAGAAAATTGTCTGTTTTACACAATTGGAGGGATTTTTATATTTTAGCGGCAGATACATTTTTTCAACAATCCAATAGTTCATACGTCTCTCTAAATGAAACAAAAGCAGGTACGATGTCACAAGCAACACATTTGCATGTCGCTTTTTGGCATAATAACTAAGCATTTTTGTTATAGTCAAGATATCTGGCCACAAAATCCTAGGAGCAGAATCGGGTAAAGCATTTTATTTGAAAATCCCACAAATCTGAAGGAAAGTGTGCCAGACCAAAACCAATCCAAGAAACAGATAATGGATTGATTAGCAGAGCTCATTTAGATTGTTGTGGTATTTTGTTGGTCATTTATCTTAAGTTGGTATAGCTGGAACACATAAGTGATAAATTTAGGAGACATTCTTCTGGCATAACTCTCACACCACTCATAATTTTTAAAAAAATGTCCCTTCATAAAGGTTCAACCCTCATATTAACCATTCTCATTTTTTTGCAATCTACCTGCAACTTTTATAAGAAGCTACCCTAATTCAACTCATTGTTTTTTTTATTACTCGCGTGGCATGGTAGCGTGCCGATTTGATGTCTAATTCTTTGAGGAGCGAATATTGTGCACTGTACCAGAAAGTGTTTCACACTCATGATTTCGTCACTGGTGGCTCTGTTTTATTGAGGAGATGTTCATGGATCAGACGTGTGTGGCCGATTTTCAGTTTCGTAATGACAGTCTCTACTGGTCTACTGGCGGTCCACGTTTTATGTGCTGTAACTAGGGATTTTACTTCATGCAGTTTGGTGTTAGAGATATTCCACTTTGCTTGCCATAAGTCGCGCACCAGAGATTTCGCGTGGCACTTAAAGTCACTTGGGGTTGGTCCTGACTGAATGATGGATACGTCGGATTACTTCTATTTTAGATATGACCCAGATTATAAATTTCCTAAAGATAAAAACAAAAATGGAAAACGAAACACGAAACTCAGTCATTGAAAAGATCCTCGTCTAGAACACAACCATATTTGAAGTCTATTCCATGGCAGTGAAGGCATATAGAATTGCAGATTTAATAATTCTTCTGGCGCATAAGATTGCTGCATAGTGCATAGTGCATTGTGACTGGAAACGTTTCATTTTTCGATATGATCCAAATTTATCAGTGGCTAGGAGATTTCCCATCCATTCCTGTACTTGAAGATATGTCCTGAAGATATAGGAGAAATTATTTGCTATTAATGTAATCACCATTTGCAGATTTTCAAGCCATGCAAAAATACATTTTTATCAATACAATTATTACTTAGAAAACGATTTAGTGAGGACGGTATCTCAACGTTGGTAGGTATAGTGCAGATGCGGACACCTTAATTGTAAACACAGTCATAAGCTTGCCAGAAGAACTGAACTAGTAAATAAGTCGGTAGTGGTATTGGGGGAAGACTCAGATTTGAGCGGTTTGTTAATTGCTATGCTACTTAATGTTGCTTAAGCCATCTTTGGTTGTAAAAGAACATCCAAATCAAAAGATTTGTCGAGCGTCTGCTTAGCTATACCAATATCTTAAAGCCTATATCGTTCTTCTTAACTGTCTCGGGACCCATCTAATTCGTACAGGGTTATTGGTTATAAATATCACCAACCTCTATCTTTTTTATTTGACATTTTAGAAAAAAGTGTCTCAAAAAGTTTTATGGTTGAAATTAATGCTGTGGTCCGAATATAACTTGGTTATGGTTTCGCGTTCCGAAAGTAATCAAATTACTCTGATTCCTAGAAAAGTGGTTACTTTTGGACCTCGGTTTCCTGAAATCTGGTTAACCAAATGTCAAAATAGTTTCCGGCCATCAGATGTCGGTTCTGTTGATTTTATTTGTAATTTCTGTCAATTATTTTTTATTTCATATTTGCGTTCCCCAAGTAACCGAAATTTTCAGTAACCATCTGTCAACCGATTCGGTTATTTTGGTTAATGTTTGGTTATATTCGGACCATAGCCTAAATTTTTGAAAAACTCACTTTCGCATATACACGGTGTTTCAGAAAAGCCGGTCGTGCTCCAACTTTCTTATTTTAAATAGAATACCCTGTCTATTACTGAATATTCGGATTCTACGTAAAATTCTGAGCAGATTTCATGTTATATACCCTATACCTAAGTTCAACTGTTTTATAAATATTGTTGAAAATTGACTCTTTTGCAACTTTGACAGGCTGTAAAACCTAAACGGTTAACTTTTGAGCAAAACCTATCTTACATTTTTTTCTTAGATTTTCATAAGCTTTCATTTGACACTAACTTTGAATTTAACCGGAGAATAAATATAATTTAATCATGGATTAATTTCAATGTTGGTGTCAACTGATAGTTTATGAAAATCCAAGATAAAAATGAAAGATCGGTTTGGATCTTAAATTAACTGTTTAGGTACGTGCCACACATTACAACTTATCGCTAGACAAGTCTGTATACGCAGGAAAATATCTGACAGGTTTGATTTCATTCAAGTCAAACAATTGTCTGTGCAAATTTAATAGTCCGGGAGGTAGTGTCACTTTTTTATTAGTGATTTATCTCCGACTCAAATGTGTTTTATTGAAGAGTTTCACCATTACTGTGATCAAAATTAAAAGTCTTTCAGCGCGACCGCGGTGAAAAAAAGTAAATTATCTGCACATGAAAATTTGTTAGAATGTTAGTTATTGATAATTAAACGTGAAAATATTCGTCAGTCATGCTTCCGACGGGGGAAAAATTGTCAGTCAGAGGTTTGAAGCAGTCGGCAAAGTTGGAAAATTCAAGTGACCGATCTTCACTTAAAATTTTATGGATTGATTATTTAATTCAAATCAAGCATGAAAATGAACGTCAGCCAACTTTATCATGGTGGATTCTGTGTCAGTCGGGTTTCCAAAGTCGAGGGCAGTGACCAGGTTTCTTTGGCGCGCTGCATCTTATGCACTTTGACTGACGAATAATCCCCCGGCATGAATGTGCATGAGATTTTGTCATTTTTTTGATCAATTCTAATGACTCAATGATTCAAATAACTAAATTCAATTCATGAACAGTTACTACCACTATTTTTCTAAATTAAAATATTGCGTTCACTGAAATATCATTCTTTTTTTATTGCTAATACAAAATACGAAAATCTTATGAAATTAATCGGTTCACTATCACTCTGGCTGTCCGACTCTTCTGTAGAGCTTTCATCGTCATAATCTGATCACTCTTTGTCTCCGTCAGCATCTTTTTGACAATAATACGGATTTTTAGAGTGAAATCAGATAATAGATCAATAACGTGAAATGATTTTTGACTACCTGTTAGATTTTTGGTAAATCATCGGTGATATCTTGAAGGTCAGGCAACTGTTCTCCATCGAACCACTTGGAAATATATTTTCCATCTTCTTCTTGCCAGTCATAATCAATCGGACTAGTTATAGTTGTTATGTGCTGCGAAGCATGAGACCACATCTGCACAATGTGCAAAGCTCTTAAGAAATGCTGGTATAATTCAGACTTACACGGCGGTAAAGCTGACCCTTCGAAATTGCTTTTTGTTTTCAGAATAGCCTCATTATCTTCGATTTTGTATGTCTTCATGAACGTTGCCAAACGAGCTGAGTTCACATCTTTCAATGTTTTGTACCCATACATTTGACATACAAAACCCTCCAAAACAGAAAAATGTTCACTCAAATCATCATCATACCATTGTGAAATATCCATAAAGGTATCGATATAATTTGATGATAATTGATTTTTTTAGAAGTTCGTAAGGGATTTTTTTCCCCTTACGATAGAAAGCGGGGTTGAAGTCGCATCCAGTAAAAGCATGGAAAGCTGGCGACGCTTCACTCAAGTCTTCACCTAATTTTTTAATATATTTTTGTGACGTCTATGTAACGATTATTATTTCCAAGTCCTGTGAGAATCGAAATGTAAATTATGTATGATACTATGCATGTTACCGAGCATAATCACAATTATATCTTTGTCTGAACATCGTATTGTTACATGAGCATCGAAATTCAACTCGCAGACGTGAAACATAATTTTAGATTCAGCTTCCAAATGTTCAGAGCATAACAAATCTTCCTCTACTGTTCTGACAACCTTATTATCAATGACTTCGAACTTGAAACATTTCTCATAGTTTACGAGAACAGTTCGGTCACCAAAGTAAGGACTCATATGGTCCTGATTCCAATGTTCACATAAAAATCTCACCAACGCTTCCTTGAAATAAGTATTATTCAAATTGTTTTTAAAATTCGATGATCGTTTCTGCTGAGGTCCATTGATGGTAAAACGATTTCCCTCTACTCTTCCACGCATTATCTGTTCGTTATTTTTTATCGATAAGGAAACGTAACGATCGAACGCAATAATGATGGTTTTTTGCGCGGTTCGCAGTGGAAGAATGTAAGATTTTTTGCGAAATGTTTCCAAAAGATACAGGTATTTCTGTCATAGCGTGGACTGTGTGAAAACCATCGAAAACGATGACGTTACATTGTTCGGGCACATGACTTTCCACTTCTTCCTCCAGAATATACAGTAAAACGGATTTATCGGTTTTACATATTATTCCTTCCAAGTGGCAAAACGCTAAAGGAACTGGAGCTAAGAGGTAAGTCAAAACTTTTTCGATATTCAATGTTTTCTCCAACGATACTCTCAAGAGCTTTCCAAACATATCTCTTTGCAATTTTACCTCGACAATTTTTCCATTGACGTTCATCTGCTTCTTGTCTACTGCATCTGCAAACGTAAGGATTTCATTCTTCTTCAACGCTCTCTCAAACCGAAGAGGATCTTGTGAACATTCTATAATAAACGTCACTTGCAATTTTTTTCCGTTCTCCTGTAAGTTGAGAATTGTCTTAGACATTCGATAAACAATCGTCAGTCGGCACGCGGCTGGTGGATTATTCGTCAGTCGAGCTGCATAAGATGCAGCGCGCCAAAGAAACCTGGTCATTGCCCTCGACTTTAGATAACCCGACTGACGCAGAATCCACCTCGATATAGGTGGCTGACGTTCATTTTCATGTTTGATTTGATTCAAATAATCATTCCATAAAATTTCAAGTGAAGATTGGTCACTTGAATTTTCTAACTTTTCCGACTGCTTCAAACCTCTGACTGACCATGTTTCCCCCGTCGGAAGCGTGACTGATGAACATTTTCACGTTTAATTATGAATAATTAACATTGTAACAAATTTTCATGATCAGATTATTAACTTTTTTTCATAGTTTTTCCGACGAGTTCCACAGACTCCCACACCCACACCCACCGCTATTGGACTGACTGATGCGCGAATCTCATATGTGCATGTGGAGAACTACGCATGCTGAAAAATTCGTGTGAAGATCGATCACTAATCCAAAAGTGACACTACCTCCCGGACTATAATAAGTCTGCCGACTTATCAGCACTATAACGCTGCGATAATTCGTACAATTAAGTTGGCGCAAGCAAGTTGATGGACATGACGGAGCGTCTATCCCGGACTTTCCAGCCTGTCAAATTTGCAAAAAAATTAATTTTCAACTGTCAATATTTCCAAAACAGTTGAGCTTAGGTATAGGATATATCACATGAAATCTGCTCAGAATTTTACGTAGAATCCGAATATTTAATAATATACAGGGTATTCCATTTAAAATAAGAAAGTTGGAGCATGATCAGCTTCTCTGAAACAGCCTGTATATGCGAAAATGAGTTTTTCCAAAGAACAAAATTCAAAACCAACTTTTAGTAGTTCATCTAGATCCGCATTCTTATCACTGAAAACTAACAATTTGTCATGCATAAATTCATGCTTCTTAAACACCTTGAGCGCAGCCGATTTGTAGTAGTCTCACACACACCAATGGCATGAATTGAATAAAAAGAAGGCAGTTAACAAGAGGCTGTCCCAAATTTTCACAAACTATTTTCAAACTGGAAAATTTCATCTTCATTGTCGCCGCGACCCACTTTTTTGTGTCTTCCCCCAATACCACTACAGACTTATTTACTATATTATAGTTCTTTTGCCTAATAGCTGTGTTTACAATAATTAAGTTATCCGCATCTGCAGTAGCTTCTAAAGTTGAAATACTCTTCTCTCTAAATCGTTTTCTAAGTACCTATTTGTATTTTTTAAACTTTATTTTTTCCATGGCCTGAAAAATCTGCAAATGGTGATTACATTGATACCGAATAATTTTTCCTATATTTTCAGGGCATATTATCTTCAAGTACAGGAATAGATGAGAAATCTCCTAGCATTTTTAATTTTTTTTTTTTCAGGAAATTCATATTCTTGGTTATATCTTAAATGGAAGTTTTTTTTATTTTTTGTAATTTTAGGCTTAAAATTCCGTGAAAATTTAAAAAAAAAAATGTTGAAAAATTGATCCAAGGGACAAGAAGATAATTAATTATTGAAGATTTGAACGGTCGGCCATGTTTTTCAAGATGGCGTTTTTAGCTCACTTCCGATTTTTTGGGATTTTTAGATTTGTATTCTATGATAAGAGAGCTATCGTTTTCAACAAAAAAATAAATGTCCGCAAAAACTTCGCATTCATCGTAAATTTTTTTCACAGAGGGTCTATAAGTCTCTCGTACTAGAAGGCTAATTTTGTTCGAGGATTCTTTTATATCTTTTTGAAAATACATTGCTGTATGTGAGATTACGAGCGGGAGAAAACTGGGCAATTCTTGTTGCATAACAGATGGATAGCATCATTCTTCGGAGTTCCAATGGCGGCTCACTGCTCTCACAAAGCAGACTTTCTATCAGGCTTGTGCGGAAAGCGCCCAAGGCTATGTGTATTCCTGAGCTGTGAAGCTTGTCTGATAAGGTGGATTTTGTTGCTGAGTTATAGACTATGCATCCGTAGTCAAGTTTTGACCTAATGGTTGCTCTGTAGATTTTCAGCAAGGAGGAAGTGCTTGCGCCCCAAGACTTGTTTGATAGTATTTTCATTAAGTTAGGGCCTTTTTGGCAATCTACGACTAGTTTCTTGATGTGTGGGACCCAGGATAATTTTCTGTCGAAGATTAGTCCCAAAAATTTTATGTTGTTGACAAATTCTAAGTCTTCTTGGTAGAGTCTTAATTTTGGAATTGTTTCTATATTTTTTCTTGAGAAAAGGACGCATTTTGTTTTTTCTGTGGAAAATTTAAAACCATGTGTAAGTGACCAGTTTTGCAGATTTAGTAAATTTTGTTGGAGAAATGTGCACATAGACTGTATATTCTTCTCTTTTATGGTGAGGACCAAATCGTTAGCGAATAATCGGAACTTTACGGGAAGGGATATTGTTAATTGCTGCTAAAAACAGAGTTACACTCAGCACGGACCCTTGCGGAGTTCCATTCTGGTGCGTGAATTCTTCCGACATGCACCCGCATTGACTCTCACCTGGATTCTTCTGTACTCGAAGAAGTTTTTTATGAACATTAACATGTTTCCTTGGATGTTCCAGGAGTCCAGTTATTTTAGGATATTGTATCTCCATGCGCAATCGTAAGCTCTTTTTAGATCGAAGAAGACTGCTGGCATTTGCGGTTATTGGCGAAGGCGTCCAATATTTCAGTTTCTAGATCAATTAGATTCTGTGGACCGTTTTCGTCGAAATCCGCTTTGCTCCATAGCTTAAAGGTGGTTTTGTTCTAAATACCAGGTTAATCTTCTTTTTAGTATTTTTTCTAGAAGCTTGCACATAACGCATGTAAGTGAAATTGGTCTGTAGGACGAGGAGTCCGATTTATCTTTGCCCGATTTCAAAATAGGGATTACTATCGATTTTGACCAGATCTTGGGAAATTTGTGATTCTGAAAGATGTGATTGTTAAATTCCAAGAGGAGTTCTTTAACTTGATAGGGAAGATACTGGATAAAGCTTGCGGGTATATTATCAGGGCCTGGGCTTGAGTTCCTTTGACCGGAGAGATTCCTCGAACTCTCACATCGTTATGGGTAGATTGAATGGGCTCTCCTGTTCGTGTATGTTAATGGGAGAGTTTGTTTCTAGATTTAACTTGTATTGTAGAAATTGGGAGTCATAGTTGTGGTTGCTGGAGAAGGTTTCGTATATTTTGCATAGGACATTGGCAGCATCTTGGTTTTCTTCTGCGATGTTATTATTGTTTTTTAAATATAATATGGGGGAATATGTATTTTTCCCAGATATATTTTAGATCTTTTTCCATAGTTCGGCAGCTGGGGTGTTTTGCGTTATGGTAGATACGTACTGGCCCCAATATTCCCTTTTACTCTTTTTCGTAGGTAATAAACCGGGCTTTTGTCCTAAGTTGTTTAAATATCAATAAATTTTCTTGTGTTTTGTGTTTTTCATATCTATTGAATGCGTGTTTGCTTTCGTGAATTGCAATTTTGCATGATTGGTTCCACCAAGGTACGGGGATTTTGTTTCGGTCCAATCTGTTTGATGATTTTCCAATTGCCCGGTTAGCTGCGTTATGGATGTTCCCAGTTCGCCTTTCCTAAGTTCCATTTATTGAAGGGTGTCCTTTTTTTGCCAGTATTTTTTTGGTGGTCGTCTGATGTTATTTTTACCCCATATCAGCTGGTGGCAATTGAAGTCTCCGGCAACTATTCGGGGGCATGGGATCTGTTGAAATAACGCGTCGATTCCATTTTTCTCAAACTCTCTGTCTGGTGGTATGTATAGATTACATATTGACATTTTTTTGTGGGAAATTTATTGATATTGCGACAACTTCTAGCTTCGATGTGATTGGAATTTCAGATACATCGATGTTATCTTTGGTGAATATGGCCACTCCGCTGGCTCTTTCTGCGTTCATTCTGTTGTAGTAATAGTTATTTATGTACCAAGGCTTGTAAGTGTCACTTTTTTGGCTGGGGATGCAGTTTGCAAGCCGAGGCCCGTAGGGACGAGGTTTGCAAGCATTTGAGGCCAAAAAAGTACAAGCTACAAGTCGAGGTGCATATGATATTTTTTGTGCTACCGTACATTCAAGATAATAAAATGTAAGATTTTAATTCGCAATTCCCAGCACAAGTTCCTCTATGATAGTCGAGGATTCCTTTAGTACTAAGGATTCTAATATTTTAAGTTCTTCAATACCCGGGGTATTGAAGTGGGTTTACTGCAATGCTATTACTGTAGGATTTTCGTCGTGAATAAGCAGCTGTAACATTTCAAGATGAGATCTGTTGCCATTTATGTTCCACTGTAAAAATGGGAAAGAAGCTGATTTCATAATGTGTTGAAACTGTTTGGTATGTATTATCCTGGGATGAGTCACTTTCTAGTTCTGACCATTGCAAGTTGAGATGGAGCCCGATT